TTTAGATTGAAAACCATTGAATTGAACAAGCAGTATGAAGGATCTTTTTTTGGTGTAGTTTTTAATTTGAAATCAAATATACCTATAATATCTTTTCACGTAGAGGTGTTTGAATTAGCTTTTTAAAAATAACTTTATGATGTACAAAATAAGTATGTGGGATAAATTTTGTTTTGGTTCGTGTGAAAGTATGTGTAAGATGTCAAAACAAAAACACCTTATCATAATAAATGTTTGACACATAAAAATTATCTTTTTGATAAGACATTGTCTAGCCATATATGAGCTAATTTGAGTTATAGGTCAAAAACTGCTTTTTTAAGTATAACAGTAAAAACATCTAAAACTTACTTATGACTTATGTAGAAGTAGTATTTTGGAATTAAAATTTTTTTTTGCCTTGTTCTTATGTTTATATTGTTATTGTGCTTACATCTACATATTCTTTATACTTTCCAATCAGTTTTTAGTTATTTATAAATTTTTAACATAGTTTCTATAATATTTTTTATTTTTAATATTATCTTTCATTTTATATTTACATAAATTGTGCAGATTGTATCATCCAATTAATTGTGTAATATTATTTGGTTAAAAAATTTTCACATTACTATGATTTCTAATTTAAATATAATTTATTTATTAGATATAATTTCTTCTTATTATAATAAGTTTTTTTTTTTTACCATCAATCCAAATGTACCCATATATATATATATATATATATAGATATTGATGTACAATTGAAAAGACATAAACATAATAATGAGCACTACGTCCATATAATTATCTATCACATAACCCTGCCTCCAAAATAGAAAGCAGTACGTACAGCTAGGGTTTTATTTCATCATAACCTTTGTCAGAATCAGGCACCCATACATGTGCAGAGTGTCCAACCATGTCGCCACCCGGCTGTAAAATGGTGAGGCCCTAACGTACACTGGATTTATTTTTCTTACACATCACATATATATGTTGGAAGAGTCGAAGATTAATTAGGAAAACGTACCATGTTACTTGATAAAGATCGTACAAAGGCCAGTTAAAACGAGCCAAAACCACATTTTGACGAAGTTATTACAAGAGTGTCTTTCTGTTCCAATATTTTTCCAAACATAGAGGTATAGATTCGATGAATCTAATAATGTCTTAAGATTTTTCATCGAAATGATGAGGACTTGCAAGAATATACTCTTGCTAGTGCTTTATGCTTTCACATGTACAAACAACATGTGGGGTCCACCTAGACACAGTCTTGATGGTTAATATATAGTACCTCTGGTTTCTTGACTCGTAATATAAGAATTAGATAATTAATTTTCTGATATTAAAAAAGTTAGTTAAATTAATTATTGATATGGCCAGGCAGCAGTGTAACCAAAAATTAAATATTCCTCTTAAGGTAGGGTTCCCGAATCCATACATGGGCAATGCAATAAAGTAAAGGCGGGTGAGAATAAATATAGGACCGTGAACACATATCATGAGGGATCACGAATCTTTATCATGATGATATATTGAAGTGATGATAGTACATTATTTTTGTGAACGTGGTACTAAGGAATCTATTGTGTCTGCTTTTACGATTAGTAACTATATGCGAGTTCAATTAATTTCATGTATAGTACGACTTCACCTAATTTATTTAGAAAAACTAAATTTTCAGTTACATTATTCATTACAATATCTTCTTGATCTCCATGTTAATTCACTTAGATCGTGTGGAAATATGCGAGAATTAATCCTATGCATGACATTTCATCAATTTCATATCAATCCTAGATACCTAAACTTTGATACTTTTGTAATGTTTCCATTACTCTTCATTTTTTACCTTCAAATAATTTCTAACTTACCTTTAGTTAATTTGTAGCGCGCGCGAACACATATATATTTCGTCTTGTTTTTACTTACCAGGTGAAAACTTGTTGATTTCCATATCTATATCCATAACACAAATTTAGAGAAGTTAACATCTTTTATTGATACGTTAATTAAGATTGTTAAAGAGCATGCATTTATAGATTTCATCCTGTATATATATGCTCCGTCAAATTTTTCAAAGCCAAATCAAGTAGGTAAAGGCTTAAAAATGATATATAATATAGACTATTCCTTATATATGCCACCACGAACCTAGAATCAGAAGCCTGGGGGCCAAGTTTGTAGAAATTAGCTAATAAGTGTCTTTAATTCAATTTTTCTTAAATATTTATTACACTTCATTTATGATAAATTATGTATAGTATATTTAAAAACATAAATAATATGCCAAGTGGAATCATAAATATGATATATTAGTTTCATGAAAAAATGATCAACAATATATATATAAAGTATGTATTTTCTGCACATTTTGCTTATGTATTGTACCATTTCTTTTTGACCAGCTATTAGAATATATCTTCAAACTTTATATATAAGAAGTAAATCAATATATATTTGAAAATATACTATACTTATTTAACATTATATGCAAGTTAAAAAACAAATTATTAACTAAAAAAGAATAATGTTTACTAGTTTTTTTTTTGGGCCAAAAGAAAAACTAATATGTAGTTGTATAATATAACTATACTACCACTACTTTTTTTAATCAATGAAAAGTTATCGTGAATTAATGACAGAAATATTTTAATAAAGAATGAAATATGTATTATTTAAAATTGAATATTTCAAAACAGATACAAAGACATGTGTATTATTTGTGCGTACATTCTTTTTTTTTTGGGGGCGGGGATAAGATGTCAAATTTATTTGTGTGCATTCTTTTTCATTGAGTTTAATTGTTGTAGATGTTTTGTGTGTATGGAAATTAATAGATATATTTGTATTCTTTTTTTAAAATTTGTCGGAGCGGGGACCCCTCAAATTATATGGGGAGGGGGTAAGAAGGTTTGGGGGGCCATGGCTGCCCGAAACCCTCGGGTTTGTCCGCCACTTACTTTCATGAAAGTCTTTAGTCTCATTTTTAAGAATTCTTGAAAGCGTCTCATTTTTAGGAACTCCTCTTGATAATATAAATCATATAAACTTTTTATATATAAAATCAACCTTTATTTAATTATTACTTTTCCATCGATCTTCATACAGGATAAATAGTCTTGATTTGTTGTAAATTGTCATGGCACAAAATTCAAATTGGTTCTCATTCCCTTTTCCTTGCAGCATGAGACTTGCACTTTAGACAATAATTAAGAAAGTAAACCCCAAGGATGTAAAACTTTCAGAGAAATATTTCCATCTTAAAATTAACTTTAATTTAAGAATGCCCAAAACAAGTATATTGAAGACGCGATATCGATATATAGAGAAAGAACAAATATATTTCACTTTACTTTAGCCCATGTATGTATTTGTCCACAATAAAAATGTATGTTTAACAATGATGATTACCAGAAAGAGCTAGTTCTTCATAATAGAGTGACTAAAGACTTAATTTTATATTAGGAGTGATCTCTACATTTAATATGTACTGGACTGTATTTTGGATAAGATTATCTTTGTGCTTAAGAAAAAGTGAGTATAAAAAATTAGGCTAATGATCATGCTATTTATTTTGTATGATAAACCAAAAAAATTAAAAAAAAAATTGAGCAAATCATGAAATCACTAGAATATTAGAATATTTTGTAAGATAATCTGATAAATCATATTTATTGTCTTTTGTTTAAAAGTATCACGTAGTTTCCTTAAAGAAAGTGTGCGCCACGTGGTCCCATGCTGCCTCCACATGTATCGGTCTCCCCATGTGTAGTAAAATTGGTACATTTATGAAAAATTGATTGAGAAGTGATATAATTAATGCAAGGAATATTTATATTATGTGTGTGTGTGTGTATGCTATTTGTCATTTTGTACTCAAAATGCCAATTTTTATGATAATAGGATATGTTAGAGAGAAGCCTACCTCTTCTAAGTTTAGGACACTGTCTTTCCGAACCATACAATTAATTTAATGATGCTTTTGAGGTTCCTTTCACCTCATCGCTGTTTTATTGGACAAAAGATTGAAATGCTCACGAAATCTTTCATTTTGCTTGTCTCCTGTCATTGGGAAATTAATGTTATATACAGGTTGTGTTCTTTTTCTATACGTATCTGAACTAACAAACCTAGTCACGGAAACTAGTTAGTATTATCTCTGATTCTTAATATAAGAGTTATTTGACTAATTTGAGTAGATTAAGAAAATTAGTTAAACTAGTTATTTGTAATAAATAAATACTGTTTTTCTTAAGTATCTATGCTAATCAAGTATATTAGTTAGAACTACTATTATTACAAGAACTATCTTAAAATAAATAAATAAATATAAGAGAAAAAGTGGATGTGGTCTTATATTTAGGACTGAAATAAAAATCAAACGAGCTCTTATATTAAGGATCAGAGGCAGTGTATAATAAGAATATGCCAATTAAAAATGTGTATGTGTGCATTTAATGTCTTCTTCAGAATTTTGTAATAAATTGGGTTTTTTTCCCCAATTATATAGTGATGCATTCAGGAAAAAAAGAGAAAAAAGAAACTAAATAATGCATGCTAAACTCTATGTTTTTGTCAAGGTTGTATTAGTTTAAATTAGTTTATTTTAAATAATTTTACATTATACGAGATAAAATTTTATTTTATAAAGCATGAAAATGATTAGATGTAGTGAAACCAATTGATTACAACATCTCTTTTATTTCTCTAATCCAAAAGAGGGGAAAGATCCCTTGATGCCACAACAGACTTCAAAATACCCATCCGTTCTTAAATACAAACTAAGTTTTATATTTAAGATCGGAAGATTATCATTTGATATGGTAATCTGGTCAAGTAATAAATTTTAGAGTGACTTGGGCTCATTCCTCTAGATGGAGAGTAGGCCCAGACTATTAGGCCCACCTTATAGGCCCAACAATAAAAAGTCCAACCAGGCCCCTATCCAAAATATTATTTGATTAAAGCAAAATTTCTGACACAACAATGAAATCTGATCGGTGGGGCTAAGATGAGCACCAAATATAAGTCTTCATCTTTTATACAAGTTTTATGGCAAATTTCTTTCTAATTTATCAGCATGCCATGCCTAAGAAATTGGCTATATAGTTATATTACTGGAGACACAAATCTGATATGCTCAAAAAAGCAGTACAAAGGTATATCAAACTAATAACAGTATCTCATCGAGTATCTTATATAATGGAGCCACACGTCACATATGTTCCCTTTCATGCATATACGTATATAATCCATGAAAATGGGATTAGTTTTGGTGAATATGTGCGTCACTTGCTTTCTACTTGGAGAACCTGAGAATGTCACGGGTAGTGTCACAACCAGAAAGGTAATGAACAGCTGGGAATTGCTGGTGGGTCGAAGAAGCCACAACACCAGAATGATCATTTGAAGAAGGAATGAATCTGTGGTGGTGTGAAGCAAGAAGCTTGTCCAAGAAAGACCAGTGATCATCATTATAGTTACTGAGATTAAGATTGAGTCCGCAGCCGCCATTATTACTGCCACTTGTAAGCTTCAACAAGTTGTGAGAGCATTCGACTACTTCGTCCATGGCGTTGGGTAATACTGCAGATTCAGGACTGAACAATTGGGGTAGGTGGATTGATCCATCAAGGCTATAGTTATGATGATCATATAGTGCTTGCATGTGATGATGGTGACGGTGATGGTAGTGCTGTCTTGGGTCTAATACCTGCTGGTTTGATCCGCTTCTTGTTCTCATTTGAGTAGCTAAGTACTCTTCCTCTTCCTTTTCTGGTTGCAGGTAGCCTCTGTTGAGATTCTTCTTCGTGAAAACCCTACACACTACCCATCCATCTTCCTGCACTCAAAATATCAAAAAAATAGACTGCCTTCATGAGCATAGAACATTTTGATGACGCACAGATGCAATCTAAAGTGATAATCAAGCCTCGGATGGAGACTCAGTAAAATGTTATTGACTGACATGTGGCCTATTAGCTCAGTTGGTTAGAGCGTCGTGCTAATAACGCGAAGGTCGCAGGTTCGAGACCTGCATGGGCCATATGTTTTACTTTTTATGCTAATTTTTGACATTTTCAGACAAATAATGTACCTGAACGTGGAGGTCATCTTCGTCAAGGCGATACTCGTGCATGATCCAATCAGTCTTTTGGCCGTGAGGAGCACGACCAGTGTAGAAGACGAGGGTTTTTCTGAGGCCAATCCTCTTGGAATTAGTGAGATAAATGGCTTTATCCCTTCCTGTGGCTTTCCAAAACCCAGCAGTGGTTGCCCTATTTGTTCTTGTTCCTGTTGGGTACTTCTTGTCCTTGTGGCTGAAGAAATACCACTCGTTCTGTGGCCCTGATCCAATCCTACACTTTTCTGCAATATTATGTTATTCCACAACCCCAAGTCAACATCACAATATTATTGCATGCTTGCACTTCACTGAATCTAACTGAAATCTGTAAATTTTTTGTTACCTTTGAGGTCCCAGGGCTCAAGTTTGTTAAGATCAACTTCTCTGATGACGTCGAGGTCAATGGCTTCATAAGAGACCTTCTTCCTGAGGTAATAGTAAAGAAGTTCTTCCTCAGTTGGGTGAAACCGGAAACCCGGAGGAACTGTCACTTGTCCACCTCCTGGCATATCCTCCAATATGTATATTTCTCTCTTCTTTCTCTTAATTATACCTGACCAACACAAAATATGTAAATCCAATCTTGGTTACGTATTTCCATAGAAGATGAAATAACCCTTTCGACGTAGTATCATACGAAGTCTGAGAAATAATTACATTATTTACAACTTATGAATAGTATGCTAAGCTTCAGTTTTGTCCATCTCTCTCCCCATTGACTCTTTAATTTTCTTCTTTATTTTAAGCATTTTCATGCTTTACGAGATAAAACTACTCTCATATATTTACTCATCATAAAATCACTTAAAATAAGCTAAATCAAACGAGTCGGTTTGGTGCATTTAGTTGTTAAATTCAGAGAGTTCATTTACAGCAGTGAGAGTAGTTGAATTTTATGTTCCATAGATTATAATATAGTAGTTTAATGCATGCATGCGAGTGGCTCAATGCAACGAAACTGATGAAACATGGTTATATATATAATCAGGGGCTGAAATTTTTCCATGCACAGCATCATAATATTCAAAAATGAAGGCTAAGGTTTGGTGATTTCGAGGCTATTCTAATTTCTCCATATTCACACTGGAAGCAGAGATCAGAGGCGCTTTAATTATATATGACTAAGAAAGAAGAGAAGGAATTAAGGAATAAACGAAATTTTATTGGAAATATTATATATTAACTCCAAATTAAACTAAACCAATTAGGCACACCTGACTAAACATGTATATGGAACCGATCGAATTCAAAGATCTGCTGAAAATATTAAACAAAGTACAGTTGACTACATAGAAATGACTCGTTCAAAAAATGGGAGCTAACTAGTAAGCCCTGGAATTATCCCTGAAAAAAGGAGCTAAGGTGGTTGGGATAACCTTTCTCGTTAATTACTTGATCAATTTCAAAATCCTACTTGAAAGTTCTTTATTAGGTTGGAATTAATCTTTATTCTCCTTCATATCTATATACAAACCTGCATGCGCCATATGTTATGCATCAATTTCTTGAGAATTAATATAAACTGGCTTAGTGGAGACCAGAACTATTGACAGCAGCAACAACATATCAGAAAAATCTCACAACCCTTCAAAATCAGACAAAAATGAAAAGAATATGTGCCTCATGACGGTGGATTTGCTTGAAAAAATGACTGCATATATCATTCATTTATATTCTGATATTTTCCAAAGGAAATTTTGGAAAGAAATCAAAATATATGTATGTATATATAAGAGAAATCAAATGAAGAGTCCATGATCTCCATGTAACTTTTAGATGATTCTGTTTACTTGTAGATCATAACACTGATCCACGCATTATGAAAGGAAACAAACACGTTTCTGCTGCTTTATTTTCTTTTGGAACTTTCGGATTAATCAGATATATCTGTCTGAAATTCAGTCTAAACAAGAGCTAAAAGCTAGAAATTCGGAAGAATCATGAAAATACCTCCAGAGACAAAAAGACAAAAACGAAAGAATTAAAGTGAAAATACCTCCAGAGGCAAAGAGACATGAACAAAAAGGCCATAAGAACAAACAGTAGGAACAATCGGATAGTCTAAAAAGTAGCTAAAGAACACAGGCCTTGATGTAGTGATAATAAGCAAGTGAATATCCCACCAGGACAAAAGAAACCAGACAAATTAAGAGTTACGTACCTTATTAGCTACCTAGGTTTTGCCCAGTTCCTTCGCTTGAAGGGCACGGACGTGGGTTCTTAAGAGAGAGAGAGAGAGATAGAGTTTTGTGTGGTCTTCTGTGCAATATATGCTAGCTAGCTTCACTCACAAGTTTATCACAACCAAGAAATGGCACGGAAATATATAGAAAACTGTTTTCAATTAATTAATACTATTCATGATGTGATTATAACATTATTGTATTGCAGAAAGCTGATATGGTTGAAGAAGAGTAACACAAGTTAAGGAAGGACTTTTAGGCTATATCTAGCTGTTTGATATGCTCGTATCAGACAGATCAGTATTAGTTAATTGATGGGTTTTAATCTATAAAAACTAATAAATGTAATCAATCAAAATCATTTCATGAGAAATGCTGCATATCATACCAAAAAAGTTATAATTAATGTATATAAGCAGGAGTTACATGCATGTTTTAAAATCGATTTTTAGATCATTAAGTTTTTAAAACTATATATCGTCTTTTCATACCTTATTGAATATAAGTCAATAACATTATTGCAATAATATCAAGAAATCTTTGGTAATTGTCGGTTGAATGGGAGACCTAGCTCCTAAAAATTGCCTTGGATGAAGAAAAGTTGCTAACTGTCAATTACAATCCATATAAATATATATATATATATATATATATATATGTGAAAATGTGGGGTTTAGTTTTCTTCATTTACAATATAAATTGTATCTGTCTCTTAAGTAGTCTTAGTCAAATATAACTATAGAGCCATGTTGAGCCGATTTCATTGCATTAGTTCAATATGCTTTATCATTAGTATTATTTTAATCAAGATCTTTCCAACTGGAACCAGTTTATATGCCACTTGAAAGAGATTTTCAAATGAAAGTATTATACTTATCTATTTTGAATCACTTGAGCGTGTGTAAGACGAGCGATATTTGCGTCGTCATATTCATTCTGACCCATCTATAATTTACTTTAATATTAATTAATCATATTATTATTGCTTTAATTATTTTGATTTTGTGAAAGGTATTATCGTCAAACTCGGAAGAGGATGAAGATCCAGCGGCTAACCTTGAATCACGTTCATATGTAAAAGTGGAGAATTTGCATCAAATTCAGTGCAAAAGGGTCAAACCTTCGGGTTATATATATATATATATATATATATATGCATATACACACATAGTACATACTATATATACTGATAATTCAGTATGAACTTAGTCAGGCATTATGAATTAATTAATCACCGATTTAATTCTTTCGGTTCATTGGGATGCAGCTATGTTTCCCTTTGGATGACGCAGCATGATTATGGATCCAAGGCAATATTAAACGATTTACAGGAAAAAAAAGTGAATAAAGTTAAGGGAGTGAAAATTTTTTTAGCATCAGATTGATAATATTGATCGAACAAATCGAAGCACAAATTAGTTCTAATTAAACTAAAGACATGTAGCAGGTTAATAATTGGGTAAAATTAGTTAAAGTAATAAAAATAATTTTTTTAAAATATACGCTTATTTATAGAAAGGGTGAATGAGAGACCTTATAATTTTTCTTTATGAGCCTAACTACATATATCAACATAATTTATGTAGTTTATATTTCATGGTGGAAAGTGTAGCAACCTTCATTTTTGTTTGTTACTTAAGACCGAGTTTGTTTGGTAGTACTTGAGACATGGAAGATGTTAATATGTGCTTTGACCATTCTTTTTCTCAATCTGTTCTGATCGTAATATTACATTTGTCATAGTTTCTGGCAGCATTTTAGAATTAAGACTTTATAAGTTTAACTACCATAAACTGTACCCTCACGTGATCGAACTGATTATGGTGTTATATCCGAAATTATGCAGAAATTGGTGAAAGCCAACAAAAATATTTGGCTGTATTATCTATGTTTTTATCCTCCAAAATTTCATCTATTCTTAAAATAATCACATATATGAGCAATTTATTTACACTGCTAATATATATTATGTCTTAAAATTTGAATACATCCAATTATTACAGCTTATCTGGCCGATTAGCAGTAACGTGATTCATGCGTATATACTTTTATTGGCCATGAATCAACTTCTCTCCTCTTATTAAAGTGTGTATTTTTTGCGGTCCAAATCACCATTAAGTTGCATGTTTAACATTAATTTGTGTTACTCAGACTTACGTAGCTTCTTACACCCAAGAAGTCAATTTATATGCCCAAAGTTATGTTCAGAACTGGCTTTTGGTGAAAATGACTTTAAAGTTGAAGTAATTTTTTTGGTCTTTTGGCTTTTTGACTTCCAGACTTTCAAAGATTTCAACATTTTAAAATTTTTTTTATCAAATTGATTTTTTTCATAATAATCCAACTATAAATTATGTTATACTACTTGACTTTTATTTCAATTTTAGTTTGAAAATTTAATCGGAATAAGAGTTGTTTTTGCAAACTTTAATTCAAACAAGTTCTTGCATAAAAGGATAAGCTGACTCCTAATTTATTGTTTTGTCGACTGATATATTTTTGGGAATTATACACCTTAAACATAAGTAAGGTTAAAAAGTTAGTAAATTCTAATATTACGTTAATAAAGTTTAAAATTTTCTTGGTTCTTGTAAACTATGTTGAATATGCACTATACAACGGATCATGGAATATTAATTTTGTAATCACGGAAGATTTAAATGGAAATAAGGAAATAGTAACACGGACAGAAGGTAGTGAGAAAGCAATAATATATGATAGTCCCTAAAATCCGTGGGTGATGCAAAACAGACTACACAAATCAAGGTATGGGTTAGATAAATCCCAATACATTATAATATATATAATAATAATACAAAATCCCTTCGGATCTAGCTTTCTTCAACCCACTTTTAATTTCTTTTATTAAATTTTGTTATTCCAAGGTAGCAAGCAGGTCAAACACGTTGCTGTGCTGATGAATGGAAGAAAACCAAGTTATGCTTCTCTTATAATTTCTGTCATTAATTATATAGTAACACTGTGATTTTCTATGCAACCATTTAATTTGATGCTTAATTTAATTTATTTGCAACATGCATATATGAATGGTGCAGACTACAGCTAGTTGCTGGTAGCAGTGCCGTCACCTTTACGAACACTCGATGATATTAATGATGTTTCTGGCTTTACTAATCATAATATCAGAATCTTATTAGCACACTCTCTCTCTCTCTGGAGTTTAAGATTCCATTAACTCAAGACAGCATCATTAGGCAAAGTGTTGCATGATCCTAGTGGTCAGAGAAACTGATGAGAACTTGATTTTCTGGTCTCGATCAACTGGAGTTTCAACAATCATATTCTCATTATTCAATGTAAAATATTACCTCCGGTTGTTAATAAAAAAAACCGGATAAGTCGTTAGATTTGGTTCTAAATATAAAATCTCAATTTATTTTGTTTTTATTTTGTCAAAATAACCTTGTTGATTATAGAGGATTCATCAAAGGGTATTCTTCCAATGCACATAATTAAATAGAAGGAATTTAAGGACATCAACACATATTGGTGATAATATCCAACTCAACTAATTTTTTAATAGTTTAAATTAGTTATCGAATTCTTATATTAAGGACCGAAGGTAATATATTACTATAACACATTATTTTTGTATAAAACCTTAATTTGTTTTTTCTTAAATTAGCACATATTTCTAACAAATAATTACTTTTTTAATTTTTTAAATTTTATATAAATTAATTGTATAACTCCTATATTAAAAATTGGGGGTATTCAAAAAAATGTCAAGCCCGGAGTCTACAAGAACAGAAACCAAATTCCAAACTGGGCCGGTAACCCCGAGTGCGTACTTACTCAAATCTCCAATGATATGTAGCGTTGCTCCTGGCCATTTGTTTTCGGTCAACGATCCAGGCCATTTTTAATTGTTTCATTTCACGTTTTAAAAAAAAATCACAGAAGGTCCTGCATCAATTAAAAAAAAAATCAAAGAAAATCCCAGACATTGAAAAGCCCAGTCCATAGAGAGAGCCCATCGGGCCTCATACTCGACGTATAACATTTTTTCATCAGCCTTTGAAGAATGAGGATCCATCTCCTAAGCTAGCCAAGGTTAGGGTTGTGTTTGGATGAACTAAACCGTGATTGGAAAAGTGATTCTGGAGAATAGATTCTGTGGAAAATAAATTCTGTGAAGAATAGATTCTTGAGAAAAAAATGATTCTGAGAGTGAGAGTGTTTTGGATAGTTATTACCGAAGCATTTTTTACATGTGGAAATTACCAAAAAGGGTATAAGTTAATATGATAATTATATAAGGGATAGATTTTATGTATATTTTGATTTGAAGAAATAAAATTGTTAATGAAATTTTTTACTACAAATTAATAATATATAAGATAATATAATTAATACATAATTAATATGTGTACATATATTTATAAAACATAATATTAAATATGTTTATAGAAAAATGATTTTTTATAATAGAAAAAATTAATTTTCTTAAAGATTTAAACGTGAAATCCCATAACATTTTTTCAAACTACTTTTTGTAATAACATACTACATGTATAATAACCTCTGATGTTTAATACAATTAATTAATTAATTGCACCACACAATATATATCATAAAATATAAGAGTGAAAATATTTTTAGAGAAGATGAATTATTTTGTTGCAAACAGAAAGTCATGTATTTTTTATGAAGATTATAAACATAAAAGGGATGATATTATTTGATAAAATAGAAATAAACACGTCTCTTAAAACAATTTATTAATTATTAAAGTAAGTAATAATTAGCTTGAGAATATAAGGTATAATATTAATAAAAGAAATATAAATAAAGAAGTGTCATAATCATTAAGATGATGCATCGATACAAAGCATTGTAATAGGTTTTGTTTTTAACTACATATTACATTTATGATAAAAGGGAAATAAATAAGACATGACTACTATCCTCGTATTGAATTAACAAGTTCATCTCTTTTGCTGTCACGAACCTGAGCATGTAAGATGAAGATTGAATTGATGAATGTATACGTGAAAATCTAACCCCATCATCATCATCTTCTG